TACTCCGCATGCGCATTTTCCGCTATGGGGAGGTGCTCCGCCCCAATACCTCATGGTCAAGCCGTCACGTGACACCCACCAGCCAGTGTCACCAGCCAGCAGGCTGGATTCGAAGCACTCATACTTGATAAATTGACGGCAGCCAGCTGATATGCTGATGAGACTTGTAATTTGAGATAAGTTTGCGCCTGTGTAAGTTACATCTCGTTTATAGCTTCCACCTGGTTCAAATCCATCAACGAGTGATCTGTTCTCACTGTCATGGCTTATAATCGTCACGCCACGCCCATTTTCCATGGTCATGTTGCAAAATACTTCAAAAGGCGCTTCTCCGATATCTCCACCATCGGGGTCGATGAAGTAATATCCACTGGTATCGTCCTTCATGCTGCCGGCCGAGTCTTCCTGTCGTATTTTGATGTCTTGACATGAAGGCAGAGCATGAACGTGTACATAAATGTATACTTGCAATATGATAATGTCATTCTGGGCTTCGCAGATGTAGGAGCCGTCGTGTGACAGTTCAGCGGAGGTAATGAACAGAGTGTTATTGAGGGAAATACTAATTCCTTCGCGGTACGGTACAATCCATGCCATTGTTGGTTCCAGGTCACTCTCGGCTGAGCAAGGGAGAGTCAGTGAGTCACCGACATAGACGTAATACACATCCCAGGGAGGTAGTTCTTTAAATTTGAGGACTGAATGTACAAATAGTTCCGCAGACGATAAAACGCTTCCCACTTCACTGGTGGCCTTACACGTGTAGTTCCCAGAATCTTCAAGTGAAACGTTTAACAGTAACAAGCTCCCCTCAGTTTCAACAGACCTGTTCACTGGCAGGTGTCCATTTTCTTTTGACCACGTGATGTTAGGCAGTGGATCACCATCCGCCGAGCACGTGAAAGTCACGTTCTCTTGCTCTTCGACAATTATTGACATTGGCTCTGATAGAAAAGTAGGCGGCACTGAAAAAATAACAGTTGGCTCGTCATATAAGCACACATTGAAATGAAAAACTGTCACTACGAGTCAAGGTTTTAGCTCGGTAAAAACTAATTGTCAAGGTAGAAATTTTTAAGGTAGAAACAT